TTTCCTTGCTGATTGGTGGCCAGAGGCTTCCATTATTTGCCACACGGGCTGCTAGACTGAGAAGCTTGTGTCATAGCAAGTGGCTTTCATCAGTGCAAGAAAATGAGAGGAAGAGATGTTGAGCAGAACAGCAGAAAAGTCACTTTGTAGCCAAAGCTTAGAAATGACATCCCATCACTTTGTTATGTTCTATATTTTAGAAGGAAGTGACTAGGTTACACTAACTCCTGAGGAAAGGGGATCATAAAAGGGCATGAATACCATTAAGTGTGGATCATTAGAAGCCATCAGGCACTTTCATCAAGCAACCAGGCACTTTCAAGAGCACAAAAGATCTGAGTATCTTAAGCACAAGTTCTGCACAGTCTGTCTTTAAAAAAAAAAAAAGATATTTGACAATAAGAGAAAAAAAAAACAAAGATAGATCTTCCAAGAATCATATTTTCACAGAAATATTTTTAAGTGTAGCTTTTGTATAATGAAGGGAATTATGAATTCATACACAGGACACTCATGGAGTTTTTTTTTTTTTTACACTTACAAAGTCTTTGAAGGAAAATTTTCAACTTGGAATAAAAAAACATAATCTGACAAATTGGAATACCAAACATTTACAGGTAAGAAACAAGTGAAGAAATCTATTCAGTTCCAAATACCATATGTGTATATATATATATATATATATATATATATATATATGCATCTTATAGAAAAGAAAAAAGTCACTTAGACAGCAGAACCAAGGTTCTGGAGCTGAAAGCACTGGAGAAAACTCACAGAGATTAGGGCTGAGTCCTAAACAGAAAAATGATAATAAGACCGAATTTCAGAACTCTACAGATCAGTATTTGTCTCATGTGTCCCATCTTCTTCTCTGAATTCAAGTATGGTGATCTTACTTATCCATGACCCCCAGTGATGCCTAAAAATACAGATAGTTCCGAATCTTAATCCTAGGTACTTTTTCCTGTTCATACCTATCTGTGATGAATTTTCTAAACTAGCCACAGTAAAAGCTTAAAAAAAAAACAAATTAACAAAAGAATTATACCAAAATTATTGTAGTAAGTTACATAATTGTGGTTCATTCTCCAAAAAGATCTTAAGGGTTTATTTATTTACAATACAGAACTAGGGTACAGGTCAGAGGTACGGGGGTGAGAGGATTCACCACAGACAAAGTGGAGAGCAGAACAGGCAGACTGACGAAGTACACTGCTGAGGGGAGCAGGGGACAACACAGGAGAGGTCTGTGAGTCACCTCGCAGGCCAGGGATCAAATTCGTGCTGCAGTGGCTGTGGAGAATTTCATAGCGCTGTACTTTAAGCTGTTGCGCCACCAGGAAGGGCCCTCTTTCTCAAAATATTTTATTGTACTTAATTTTTTCAGACTGAGGGGGAACTGAAACCATGGAAAGCAAAACCATGTATCAGGAGGGGCTACTGTACATTTGTGGCTATTCTTTGATAGTCTTACTATCCAGTGTTGTAAGTCTAAAGATAAATTACCTGTTTTCTTAGAACTAAAGAATGTGTTGAGAGATGTCAACAAAATGGTGATAGAGGAGGATTACTACAATGAGTTCCATGGCTGAGTCTAAGACTGAAGCACCCCTTGCATCTCAGTGACCAAAGGACTGTACCAGAAGGGACATAGGAGGGGGAGAGGGCATGCTTCATTGGACAAAGGGTGGGTGGAGAGAAATGTCTGAAGACAGTGAGGCACAGACAGGAGGGCTGCTGTCTTAGCCAAGGGTCTTGGGGAAGGCACACAGAAATGGTGTGGAGAAACATAGTTGTTTTTTTTTTTTTTTAAAAGATTTATTTATTCATGCATACACAACTGGGGTATTGGCCAGAGGTACAGAGGTGGTGAGAGAATTCACAAGAGACAGAGTGGGAGCAGAACAGGCAGATCTACAAGGTACACTGCTGAGGGGACCAGCGGGCGGGTCAGGAGAGGTCTGCCGCACCATGTGGATCACCTCTGGGCCTGGGGATCCAACTCGCGCAGAGGTGGCTGCTGCTTGCTTGTAGGGCTGTGTCCTAACCCGTTGCACCACAGGGCAGGGGGGAGGGGGGAGGCTGAGAAACATCATCTTGATCAAGAAGAAGCCCTTGAGGAGAACCTGAGGTGCTCCACACAGACTGACACCCTAACAAGAAACAATAAGTGCTAAGGGGCACACTCCCTCTTCCCAATCCTTCAAGACTGTTACTGACCACATTAAATACACTTAAGTGACACACTACCAAGTCTCAGGGCAAAGACCCCAGACAGAGGGGCATCAGTGATACTACATATGTGAAGCACACCCCGCTCCTGCACTTTCTCAACAGTGTCCAATGAGTCCATGCTGCTCCCCTCCTGCTGCCACATCAAATACAGTTATGGTTGCCAAAACTAGACCACCTCCACAAGAAATACTCAAAGGGCCTCTCTTATCTAAATTAAAGAAATGAAATCCACACACAAAAAAATATGAAAAAGAAATTAGAAAGAAAAAGAAACCTAAAAATAAAATAACGACAGCAAATCCTTATCTATCACTGATTTAAATATTAAGGAATTGAAATCATCAATCAAAAGGCACAGAGTGGCCTGTTGGATCAGAAAATAAGATCCAATGTTCTGCTGACTCCAGGAGATTCATCTGATCTCCAAAAACAAGCACAGACTCAAGGTAAGAGTTTAGAAAACAACCCTACATGAAAATGGGACACAAAAGTCGCAGGGGCAGCTATATTTGTAGCAAATAAAAGATTTCCAGCTAAAAGGGGGAATAAGAAACAATGATCCCCCCCCCCCAGTGGCAAAAGGGGTTCAAGCAACCTTAGGAAACTAGCTCCAGCTGCTTCTCAGTGAGAGTTTGATCCCCGGCCAGGGAAGTGTCCCACATTATCTGGCAGACAGAATTCTCCTGATCTGCCGACTGCTCCCTTCAGCAGTATACTTCGTCAATCTTCATGTTCTCCCCCCAACTCTGTCTCTGGTGAATCCTCTCACTGCCCGTGAACCTCTAGCCTATACCCCAGTTCTGTATGCATAAAAAATAAATATAAAACAAAAAGATTTAAAAAAAGGAAACAGAGATGGACACAATATAATTAAAAGAACATATATCAGAAAGGTAAACAAAAAGATTTAAAAAAAGGAAACAGAGATGGACACAATATAATTAAAAGAACATATATCAGAAAGGTAAGTCATCAATATGTATATATCAAATGAAGGAACATAAAAATGTAAAAAGCAATTATTATCAAATCAGAAAATTACATTGACAGGAACACAATAATGGCCAGAGACTTCAACACCCTATTTTCACCAATGCATAGGTCAACCAAACATAAAATAAATAAGGAGACAATAGCTTTAACCAAAGAATGAGGCAACATAGGCTTAATAAATATTTATAAGGCCTTGTACTCCCAACCCCCACCAAAAGCTCAAGACACATTCTTCTCAAGAGTACATGGGGCATTCTTCAGGAAAGATCACTTGCTGGTTGCAAAACAAGGACTGATGAATCAAGAATGGTTATCAGCATAGAAATTAACCAAAAAACAAGCAGGAAAAGCCATGGATATATGGACCAAAAATACACTGCTGAATGATAATTGGATAAAGGAGAAAATGAAAGAAGAAATTTTAAAATACCAGAGATGAACAAAAATGAAAACATGATCTACCAGAACTTATGCAACTTTAGCAGAACTAAGAGGGAACTGTTCTGCAACACAGGCCCTCATCAAGAAACACAAAGGACTCAATGGAACAAACTATATCTTTCACCTCAAAGCACTAAAAAATGTACAAGCAAAGCCCAAATCATCGTGACAGAAAAATTCCTTAGAAGCAAGTACATAATAAAAATTAGGGCAGAAATAATTGAAATAAAAACGAAAGGAACGTCTAAAGGATCCACGAAACAAAAGCATGTTCTTTGAAAAAACTACCAAAACAGAAAAACTTCTAGCTAGACTCACTAAGGAAAAAAGGGGGGAAAGAATCTAATAAGTCAAATCAGAAATAAAAGAGAAGTCACAAAGACATTTCAGAAATACAGATGACCATAAGAAACTGAACATCTATATGTCAGTAAAATGAATAACTAAATGAAATGGGCAAATTCTTAGAAATCACAACCCTCTGAGACTGTATGAGGAGAAAGAGAAAACTGACAGAACAATCACAAACAAGGAAACTGAAAATATTTAAACCTTCAAAAATAGAAATCTGGATCCATATATGGTCACTAATGAACTTACCAAAACTTCATAGACAAACTAATAGGTAATCTCAAAATATTAAAAAAAAAAATTGAGGGAGGAATGTTTTCTTACATGTACACATACATGTATATATACATATATACCCCTCATAAAAATAAATATATCTTGATATATATCAAATCATAAGTGTAAAAATTCATAAATATAGTTGAGTTTCTGAAAAAGCATTATCCTCATTTTGTTGAGGATAAATGTCTCACTTTATGCCTTAATGTTTAGTTAATGATGTTTACTTTATGACTTGAAAAAAAAGACAGATACTATATTTTCTTAGTTGGCACAATTAAGAATATAGACACAAATGATACATAAGTTTCAGTATTAAATTGTTATTAGTACCCCTTTAGTTTAAAAAGAGAGAGTAACAGCAGCTCTCCTCTATGTAATATCGATTATTCCAGATATCAGGGAGAGGCTCTCCAGATGTCTAATTGTAGGACTCCCTAAGGAGGCCTCATAAGTAGGCCTCTTTATTACTTTACTATGCCTTTTTGAACATATGAAAAAGCTAATACTAAAGGAAGTAAGGCCATTTTCCCAAGGACAATGAGTCAGAAAAGAGTGGAACTGGAACTACATGATGGTTCAGTCTCTCATTTCTCTGTCCTTATAACGATGTTCAGGAAGTCCCCACCTCCAAATCACATGTAATCACAAATTACATACTGATACAGTCAGACACAGGCAAAATAAACCTGTAATATTTTAAGTTGGTTTTTATTTATATATATATATATATATATGTAGGTCTTTCTGGAAATACAACTATTGATCTCCTTTAAGAATAACATTGTTATTATAACTGTACAGTTCTAATATCCACCCAATCCACAAATTTCCTACATTTATAGATGGGTAACTTTAAAATATATACATGAAAAAACATACAGTGCATACAAACTAAATGCAAATAAAAATCTTTAAAAAATCTTAGAAATTCATTAAGCAAGTATGTCAATCCTATTAAAAATGGTTATTCTATGTACAATACATAATCTTTAAAAATACAACTCCAGAAAACAAAAATTCTTTGGTTCAGCAAAAGGTTCTAAATGTGAAAATTCAGTTTGTTAAGGATGCACTTCCTTGGGACCTCGCTTTCCTGGTTTAATGCCTTAGAAAGCATACTGCTGACTTCTTCTGCAAGCTGAAAGTATGGGCAAGACTGTGGGTAAAGGTTGGTTTTCCCATAGAATATTAGCATGTGAAAACATAACCAAAAGCTAAAATAATGCAGAAACTTAGATGTGCTATTCTTTCCTCTGCAAAATCAAAAGGATGCACAGAAAGTCTGCTTCCATTCCATTTGGAAAGGTCGGGAGACAATGATCATGGCTGACACAAAAGCATTCACTTAATGAAGTTCTTAGGGACTGGCAGCCCATGCTACTAAAACTACTCTCTTCATTATCTGGACTTCATGGAATTACAGGAGGAGGCAGATGCAACATATCCAAAAGCCTCATCACTTCAGGTGCCTTAACAATCGAAAGAATTTTAACAATCTAAAAGTATAAACACATCCATGACTCAGATGTCTTTTAAAGAGTTATTAATGCAGCAGTCATGATAGCACATCAACATTTGCCAATAGGATTTTCATTAAAAATTAATGGTGGTTATTCTGTACTCTTGATTTATTAATAGCAACAATCATAGAATTGGCTAAAATACTGCAGAGTTTCAGAGTCAGCAACCTTACGTACTAGAATTGATTCTCCTCCATATTTAATGGGAAAGAAAAATGTCCACAATATTTATGTTGCATAATTTCCACTTTGACTATGAAAACACACTGTATATAAGAGGCCTATCACCGTGCCACACTTTAGAATACCTTCAGCGAGGCTTTTAAAAGGACTCTGAGGTATCAGAGCTGGTCAGAGGAGAATGAAAAATAGCTTTTGCTTTATTAATGATTTCTAAGTTCCCCAATAGAATATAATTTCCTGGTTGGATTAATAACTCATGTAATTTAAGAATTGGTACCACTAATACTCAAACTTACTTTTCCCTAGGCTGCTTAGAAGCATATTGATATATTTCTAGGTGAATGCAGATGAAAATCAAGAGTTTTTATTGACTACCAAGATTTCTATAAAACATTTGGAGTAAGAACAGGGTCAGTCTTCCAAAATTCACCTTTGTTATTTCTTCTACTTGCATGACTTAGACACTCAAGGGAAAGACCCTTTTTAAACCTTACTAGAACTCAAAGGAGATGGCATGAGTGGTATGGAGCAAGAGATTGCAGAGAAAATAAAATATCCCTTAACAAAAATGGTTCTGACTGTTGAGAGCCTCGGATAACCTTCAATATTCAAGCAAGCAAAGGAAGGAATACCTGAATGACGTACAGCCTCTAAGTGAGATGCCATATCTCAGAACCACCACCATATCTGCTATTGTCTACCCCCATCTCTGATGTTATTCCAAAAAGATAGTATAATAGCCCAAAGAGAGAAATAACAGGTGTTGGAATATAGGTCCTCATAGTCCTCTTCTGTAGTAATTAGACAGTAAACATCTTCTCTTCAGTCAGAAGTCTTTATCCCAGCCTGACAGCTCATCAGGAGGCACCCCTTTTTCAGGGGGGTACTTGTCAAAGTAGCTGTGATCTGTGGGTCCACTGAGCTATAAAGACAGGATTAAACCAAAGGTGAGGATCATGTTAATGAAACAAGTATTTGTATATGAGTCATGTTTTCTATGTCTGAATACTGACTTGATACTGCAACCACTTGTAAGTTGCATATAAGAAGAAGATGGCCAAATTATCGGGGTCACAGCTGTGTAACATGTGGAGATGGAGCATTTGAAATGTGACTAGTTTGAACTGAGATGCACTTGGGATTTCTAAGAGTACAGAAAAAATGTAACATCTCATTAATATTTTATGTTGACATATTGAAGTGATGATATTTGGCTATATTATGACAAGCAAAATTAATTTTAACCTGCTTTTCACTTTTTTAAAAGGCAATGAGAAAATTTTAAATTACATATATGATTCATATATTTTTCTAAAGCCATCTGGCAGCTTGACTAACATTAACTCTTGGGGACTTAGATTGGTTCCCAAGAGTTGAGCTAATTCCTATTGAATAGGTAATACCAATACTCAGCATTGCTGTGATGTTTTCATTTAATTTCTAAAAACCTCTAAAACCAATTTACCAAAACAAATATCCACAAAAGTCAAGACAGTACCATAGCAAATACCTACCTCTCTTTGTAAAGGTGATGGAAGGTTTCGTGCTTTCAGTCCTTCCCAGTTAAAAGCATTTAACCACCTGAGAAATAAGAAAAGTACAGTGGAATATTCTTTGTCTGATAAATGGTTCACATGCCAAGATATCTGTTAATCTGTCATGTTGCTGCTCCCTGGCACAAGGAAATGCTCACCATGCCAACTGTCTATGTCACAGCACAGCTTTCCTTGGACTCCACTCACTGCCATACAGTAGTCTAAATCACATTTTGTTCTCTCTCAGACTTCCAGAACATTCTCCCCATCCTCCCTCTCAAATGATGATCTGGCTCCTTATTGCACTGAGGAAAATTGAGCATTAGAAAAAAAAGACAGAGGGGCCCTCCCTTGTGGTGCAACAGATTAAAGCACTACACTATGAAATTTATTGCAGCCACTTCAGCATGCGTTTGATCCCCAGCAGGGAGGTGACCCACATGGTGCAGCAGACTTCGCCTGTCTCACCTGCTGCTCCCCTCAGCAGTGTACTTTGTCAATCTGCCTGTTCTGCTCCCCACTCTGTCTCTGGTGAATCCTCTCACTGGCCCTACACCTCTGTCTTGTACCTCAGTTCTGTATACATAAATAAATAATTCTTTAAAAAGAAAGGAAGAGACAGAGAGAGAGAATATTTTCACAAACTTCTACTGTCCTATGTACCAACAATGGATGAATATTCTTTTTCTCCATATCCTCACTGGCATTTTTAGGTTACAATCCTTTTTTGATAGTAGTCATTTTTACAAAAGGGAGGTGATAGCTCTTCATAGTTTTGATTTGCAGTTCCCTTTTTTTAAGATTTATTTATGCACACAAGATCTCGGGTACAGGCCAGAGGTGTGGGGTGAGGTGTTTGTGTGAGAGGATTTACCAGAGACAGAGTGGGAAATAGGACAGGCTGATTCACTGAACTACACTGCTGAGGGAAGCAGCAGATGGGAGAGGAGAGGTCTGCTGAGACATGAGGGTAAAGCTCCCTGATCTTATATTGCAGTGGCTGTAGAAAGCTTCACAGTGCTGAGACTTAAAACCCTTCAGTGAGGTCTCTGCATATCCCTTAGTAAGTGACAGTTAATATTTTTTTTCATAAGCCTGTGGACCATCACTATGTCTTCTTTGGAGAAGTGTCCATATAGGCCATTGCACGTTTTTGGTTTTTTGTTTTTTTAATGTGCTGCTTTTTTGTTCTTGTTATTGAGTTATAGGAGATCTTTATATACATGAAAATGTATACAACTGCTGTTGGACATGTGATGTGCTGTGCAAATATGTTCTACAGTCTATAATTGCCTATGGTAATATCTGAAGATGTGATATTTGAATTAGAGCTAATATGAACTGAAAGAGGAAGTCAAAGGAAGATGAGTGGCAGAAGGTCTTCGAAATGGAAAGAAATGATAGGAATCAGTTGACACGGGGTCAATGTGGGGGGAAATGATGTCTGAGCAATGGCCAGATGCCAGGTCATGTAGGGCCTTGTAAGATTCAATAAAGAATCTAGTGGGAAGCCATTAGAAACTTCTAAATAAATGATGAAACCTGTATTATATTTTCAAAGAACAATACTTGCTGTTCTATAAAGAATAACCATTGGAGATTGGGGTGGGACAAGGTGAGGGTGAGTACTGGGTTAGGGAGCTATTAGAAGGCTATTTGTCCTGTCAGTTACAAGAAGTTTTACTTTTCTACCTTCTCAGTCTCTTTCACCTTACAGTTGATGTTGTTCTCCTAAAGACTGCATTTCCCATTCAAAGTCCGTGCTTAGCAAGAAAAAAAAAAATTACTAACAGAGAGGAAAGGCTCTATTTTGTTCTGTTTCAGATGCCATTCTTAGTCAAAGCAACATTTTATTATCTGCTCAGACTCTCATCCATGAGTTTGAGTCAGACAAACCTTTCAGTTGTTTTACCTTCCCTGTTCCCACTGAAAAAAAAAAAAAAAAAGTCCTCTGTCCTCTCCTTGACCCACCTATTATCTTTTATGCAGAGGCTAAAGCTCCATTTTTAGGGATTTTGAGGTACACATTTCTCTGGTTTCTTTTGTCACCAAATACTGCCACAATTCCCCTTAACACATTTTACAATGCTTTGTACCAGTTGATACTACATAAATATTAATATAAAAGCATTACTATTTTGCTATTAAATCAAAGAGTCTATGCATTTCTTGCTGAGTAGTTCTTATAATTTGACTTATGGCAATATTTACTTAGCATGAGTGGTTATTCACTTAACACTTGGCCTTTTGACACTAACCACATTTTAAGTAATGCAAAAGTGCCAGGGTGCACTCTAGTGTGAAAAATATTCACCAAAGAAATATTAGTAGCAATGGCACATAAATGCTTCTTCACTTTTAAAAAGATTTGTAGGAAATCTTTTGATTGAAAGTAATTTAAGAGACTAGAAATATAAAAGGTAACATGAAGATACTTGAAGTAAATTATTCCCCTATCTAGAAAGAAAGACATAATTGTAGCATAAAAATGTATCATCCTTGGGCTCTCCCTGATGGCTCAATAGGTTAAAGCACTGCGTTATGAAGCTCTCCAAAGCCACTGAAGCACGTGTTCAATCCCTGGCCAGGGAGGTGACCCACATGGTGCAGCAGACCTCTTCTGACCCGCCCGCTGCTCCCCTCAGCAATCTGCCTGTTCTGCTCCCACTCTGTCTCTGGAGAATCCTCTCACACACTTCAACTCTGGCCCCAGTTCTGTAAACATAAATAAATAAATCTTTAAAAAACAGTATCATCCCTCTTTCAGTTAGGTACAGGGAGACATGACTGGTGCCTAATTTATAAGTTAGCTCATAAATGGGGAAGGAATGAACACTGTATTTAGGGAAAAATGACTTAACATGGACTGAGTGAACATTAAATAATATGCCAAGTTTAATTGTATTTAAATACAAAGTTAAACTGAATAGTTTTCTAAGAAAAAATATAAATGTCTTACTTTAAACTAGAGTAGGACAGTCTGTAAATTTTAGAAAGAATTTTTTTTTTAATTCCAAGATTATACTGGGCAGGAACGCTCTGTACCTTGAAGACTTGTAGAAGGTCTTAAAATACCCCCAATGAAAGCAAAGAGATATATCCCTCAGGGACCCTTCCCCCACTCCAGCTTTTTATCTAAAGAACTATAAAAATAGGGTGAAATCATGTTTTTAAGATCCCTGAGGTCACCAGAAAAGCACTTTATAAGTTTGGTGCATCTTTGTAGTAAATTCTACCTTATACACTGCACTTTGTCTCCACAGTTGTGCGAAAAAGAACATTTTGTCTATTGAGTGGGCAAATTAATCCCTACAGGGAAGGAAATTAAAATTCTTCATTACTGCTGAGGTGAGAAAATCCTTTAGCATCAATTTGCATGTGCATCCAATCACAATTTGACAGCTACATTTAAAGGAGCCTCAGGTAAATAAGAAATAAAAGATAAAACAGGAGCCAGTTAACAATTATATGACTTCCATTTCCCAGCTATCCCCGAGCAAACCATGAAGAAGCTTCTGTTAATGAGAGAAAGGTGGAAACTACTTTGGAAGAATGACTTTAATTGATGAGACATTTGTTCAATATGAATAGAGTGTTTATGTGTCATTTCATAATGAGAAAAGAAATTGTGATAACAGCATGTGAAGGAAGATAAATTGGAATCTAAGATAAATATTGAGCTTAACACTGAAGGCAATCTGAGAGATAACAAAACACAAGAAAAATGATGAGCACTTTGATTTTTCTAAAAATCCACAGATGTGTCTATCTCTTTCCTTCTCTCCCAACGTCCCCATTATACCCTAAAAGCAGAGCACAATATGAATTTGGGATTTTAAATACATGGCTTTATGTTAAGAAATTTCATGGATAGACCAGGGTGTGATTGGGAATTTGGAAATTGCACCACTTCTGTTAAGAACAAATCAATAGTATTTCTATTTAGCAGCATCTCTTCCTTTATTTTCACACTGTTTATTTGCCCAGCCCATATTAATATTGTCATGAGTCTGACTGTTGAGATGTTATATATATTGAAAGTGTAATAACCCCAGGTGATGGGAAGCTGGAGACAACTGAAATAGAGTGTCTTAAGATATTAATTAGAAAGCAGTCACTTGTTTATGAAGACACTCATAAACAGACATGCAAAGGAAAGGACAGCTGTACTAAAGGACCCTCCAAAAATTTAGTTGGTCCTGGTTATATGCCTGCGAAAACTGGCATAAATATAGGCACTGAATTTGAGGTATATTGAGATACTTATGAACTCTATGCACATAATCCTGAAGGCTTATCCAAGATTCGATAGACCCACATCCTGGAAATCGGCAATTCCCCTCCCTGCCGACAGAGCTCAGCAGTTCAGCTCCTGTATCCCTATCTCCAGAATTTTCCCAGGAGGTCGTTCATGTTTCCCCTTCTGGAGCCAACTGAATTGTGTACATACTAGAACATGGATTCCCCGGATAAATTCATGTGATCATATGCATTTGGCTTAAGGCATAAATAAAACCTTCCTTCTTTGTAGAAGTTAGCACTCCAGAGATTCTGAACCTGAGAAAACAGTGCCCCTAACTTCTAGAGTAAAAATATTCAGAGAGACTCTCCCTGGTGGCTAACGCTTTATGAAGCTCATGGAAATGGCGTGGCAGACCTCTCCTGACCCGCCCGCTGCTCCCCTCAGTAGTGTACTTTGATCATCTGCCTGTTTTGCTCCCCACTCTGTCTCTGGTGAGTCCTCTCACCCACCACACCTCTGGCCTGTATCCAGGTCTGTAAGCATAAGTAAATAAATCTTTAAAAAAACATATTCAGAGAGGTGTTTTCAATTCTGGATGTGAACATACCTGTGTGTTCAAAGGTTTTTAATAATGAAATTCTCAAATGTATTTTTTGATACTAGCACTATCAATAGGTTATATATCTCTAACTCTTAAGTAAAATTAGCATCTTTAGGATGGCAGGATTTAGCTAGACTAAGTTGTTTTTTAAATCTTGAAAGCTAAACTTGAATTTTCACATCTATAACCAAATTATAAAGATTATCTTATGGATGTTACTGACTTTTCTCAATGCCAGTATTAGAAGTTTGTAGAAATGAAATGGGATATGTAGAACACATAAAGCAAATATTTAGAGTTTGTGGAAATCAGTGTACTTTACCCAAAAACTTAAATACAAAACATAATCTATATCTCTGTTGAGCTAACCAAAGGGAAACCATATTAAAAATATAATATTAATTAAAAATTAAATAGAACAATATTTAAGAGTAGATTTAGCTGATCCATTATCTTGAATAGTGACAATTATTATAATCTATTTTAATTACAAATAAAATGTCACAATTAGATTTTTAATTCCTTTATGGAATCCATGTTGATAAAAATAATAACATCAGTGGATAAAGGCTAAGTTGCAATAGTTTGAAGAAGTAATTTTGTGACTTGTTTTATAATTTTATCATTTTTATACAAATTTAGAGGATTTACGAAAACACTGTCAGATTAATTAATGTAACTACATGTAGTAAAACACATTAAACATAAAACACTGGGTCCTCCCCGGTGGTGCAACAGGTTAGGACGCACCACTGCAAGCTAGCTGCAGCTGCTTCAGTGCCAGTTCGATCCCCACCCTGGAGGTAACCCACAAGGTGAGGCAGACCTCTCCTGACCCAACTGCTGCTCCCCTCAGCAGTGTACTTTGTGGGTCTGCCTGTTCTGCTCCCCACTCTGTCTCTGGTGAATCTTATCACAGCCCCTGCACCTCTGTCCTGTACCCCAGTTCTGTATACTTTAATAAAATATACCTTTTAAAAAATAAAGCGCTCAAAGTAAGTAAATTAACAAAAAATAAAATATTTTTAAATAAAAAGGAAAAAAAACAACAAAAAGAAAAAAAAAGCCATCTGTAAAGGGGCCTTTGTGGCCTATTGATAGAAACTTCAAGATTATCACACTTATCTATAAGTTTCTTCATTTTTCTGAGCAAGGAAATAATTATGTACCTGTGTTTTTTAATGTCATTGATTCCATTCTTCAGATTTCCCAGCCTTTCTGTTGGATTTTGCCTAAAATAGTAAACATACATTTATAAAAAGTTATTTAAAATCATAATTTTGTATGAGAAAATCTTAAAACAGAATTTAACATTTCTTTATTCATTTATTTAACAAAATTCACAGACCAGGCATCTGAGTTAGGACAAAATACATGTCAATCTCTGGGAGAGCCACTGTCAAGTTGGAGTTAGGATCAGATGTAATGTATATGTATGTTATGTCCCATGCTTTAAATGAGCGATAAATAAATGCTTAAAAGAACTTAAGTACTAACTCTATGGAGAAAACCAGAGAAAACTTTAGAGAACCATTTACACTTGCACTGGAAGCTTGTAAACATCAAAAAATTTCTACAGGCAACACAAGGCCAGGCTACACGTCCTAAATACACCAAATTTTCATGCTTTTTTAAAAGTTCAAGTATGGGCCCTCCCTGGTGGCGCAGCGGGTTAAAGCACAGCACTGAGAATCTAAAGCCACTTCCTCATGAGTTCGATTCCCGCCTGCCCCGGAGGTGACCACATGGCGTGGCAGACCTCTCCTGGCCCGCCCGCTGCTCCCCTCAGCAGTGTACTTCCTAGATCTGCCTGTTCTGCTCCCCACTCTGTCTCTAGTGAAGCCTCTCACCGCCCCTGAGCCTCTGGCCTGTACCCCAGTTCTGTATGCACAAATAAATAAATCTTAAAAAAAAAAAAATTTATAAAAAAAAATAAAAAAAAAGTTCAAGTATGAAAAAAAAAGCAGCAGCAGCAAGATTAAGTAGAAATGAAAATTCAGAAGTCTCCCATTCTCCAATAAATTATTTTTATTATTTTTATTTGAAGTAATTTAAAATTGGGCTAGAGGAGTACTTTATTAAAAGTGTAAATTAAAAGAAGACATTTGTAAGTTTTATCACCACCGATTTTTCTCTCAAAGTAACAAGATTACTAGTTTGTGATTCTACTTTGTTCTGCAATAGGTAGAGATGGTTTACAGAGATAACCTGGAAAACCTGGATCTCTTTTAAACAATAAACAGGTGACCATGTTTCTGTAACAAGAATCAGGAGTATGAGTAACTCAAACTGTGAGCCTAGGCTGCAAAACAGAAAGTGATTTTTAAATATATTTTAAAATTGTTCCATAGAACAGCGCAAAAAATAAACACATGCCATTTTAAAAATGAGTGGAAAGAGAAATTAGAGCCTTCACACTTTCCCTAGAACAGGGGTATCTAATTATCACTTACTTGCAAAGCCTCCTAATCAAATCTTCAGGTCGTTTTGTTATTTTTCTGGGAAAATCCATTTTTTCAATTCCTTTAAGAATCAAATTGTAAGTCATCATTTGGTCAATCCCAGAAAAGGGTGGGCTAGCGAATAAACCAAAACAGGATAGAAAGACCATCATTAGACACATTTATGACAGTTAACTTTATCTTGAAGTCCTATGAAGAGTGTTTCAACACAGCAACAAAAAAAATGTTGCAAAGATGAGTATGAAAGCATTGGGAATAGACCACCGAAGTCAAAGGCATTTTAATACATACTTTGGCTTAAAAAAAAAAAAACTTTATATCTATTCTTCTGTGTCATTTAATTTATGAAAATTAAGGATGACTTTCATAAACCATTCTGCTATCCCTCAGTCATGTTTAAAACCTTATCTTTTCATACTGAGAGTACTCAAGCAGGTGATAAACCTCAAAATCAGTGCACTAACTTTTCATAAGTGTTTCACTTGTAAAGAAAAAGAAATACAGGGGCCTTCCTGGTGGAGCAGAAAGATAGTGCTGCCAGGCTATTGCCAGGCTATCGCCAGCCAGTCTAGTAGCAAGTGTTTGATCCCTGGCCGGCCAGGGTAGCTATACGGCACAGCAGACTCCTCCTGTCTCGCCTACTGCTCCGCTCAGCAGTGTATTTCAATGTTTATCTGCGTGTTCTGCTCCCCACTCTGTCTCTAGTGAATTCTTTCACCCCCCCTGTCAACTCTGTTCTGTACCCCTGGTCTTGATGTATAGATAATTCAATATTTTTTAAAAATAAAATGAGATATATATTCAATTTATTTGTAACTTACAACTGCATTGTGGGTTGTTTTGGTTTTGTTTTTTCATTCTTTTCATTTTCATTGACTTTCTTATTAGAGTTCAGGAGATTTAACATTCATTTTTTTTTCCTGTTATACTTTGAAAATTTTTCCAAAAACATTCTATCAACATTTTTATGGTAGTTCAAGGCCACCTTAATGTTTTCAATTCATAGGGTCACCCTCTCATCCCATTTCTTAATCCTCCAATTAATTCCCTAATCCTGAACAATTATTCCAGCTGATGAAAAATGAAATATATTGTCTTTGGTTACATCCAAATTGAGAAGACCCAGATTCAAGTTCCTTATATTAGGTTGGTAGCTGTCATTCCTGATTTCCTATAAATGTAAATCCCCAAATAATATTCCTGCTTTAACTTCTATGTAAATTTGTGAAAACTAAACTAGATAATGTGTGTAAGTGCTTTGTAAACTGTAAATTACATTATGAGTATGAAGTAATACTCTATATTGCTCACATATATATATTTGTGAATATGAATGGTGTGTACACACATAAGTGTATACATGTGCTATGAACTTTAGGTCTTGGATTCATTAATTTAGCTCTTTAATCTCTTCAGGAATGACAATTCAATTTGAACAGCTAAAATCCCTGCTGTGTCTTTTCTCTGTTCATTAACAACTCTGGAAAACTGTTGACAAAGGGATTAAAATTCCAATCCAGCAAGGTTGCTTTCTCTTAGCATTTCTGATTAATGATTTATTGAGAAGAGGGATGAGCAGGGTTAAATTTAGTTCAATTGATCAATGCATTTAATTGAACTATGATAATGATTTTTTCAATTATAAAACATACCTAAGAAAAGGCAATACAATAGCCTACAATTTCAATGCCTTTCTTTAATCTTATGCTGGACAATCAAATCCTTCACAAATTTAGTATATTATCTATATTAACATGTCATGCCATTTTAAGTAAACCTCGGCATTTCTTTGCTACTTTTCTTCTCCTTCCTGATCTTTCTTCCATGTTATAAACCAGCGAGCATGCTGTATGTGAAATCACATGAAAAGGAAAAGGTATGATAAATTAAATTCATCTTCCCAAAAGGCAAACTCTTAAGTGATATTTTTTTACCTAGTAAATTGTGTTTGTTCTTTTCTGACTAAGAAGTTGGTCATAATTTGAAAGTACTTACTTGCCAGTAAGGAGCTCATACACTAGAATTCCCAGGGACCAAAAATCCACACTGAAGTCATGTCCTTTGTTGAGAATGACTTCAGGAGCTACATACTCGGGAGTTCCACAGAATGTCCATGTTTTCTGTCCAGATCCTATTTTCTTGGCAAATCCAAAGTCAACCTTGAAAAGAATGTCAACAAAATTCTCAGAGGCCATGAAACTCTTGAACCACCTTACTTCCCCAATCTTTTTTCTAATCCTCCACTCTTCTCTTGTACACACATTAACTCTCAAATTCATTCCTTCCAAGATCAGGTATAAATCTAGTTACACTAGAGAAAGTTTTTTGTACACAACTCTAGCCCACGACCCCAAAACAAAAGGAATGGTTTGGTAAGAGAGGGACCATTACAATAATGTGAAGTGCAGGGAAAGTAGGGTTAACATAATTTTCATATCAACAGTGATATTCACTAAGCAGAGGAGAAATAAGGGAAAATATGGACCTGTGTGCACTTAAAGCTCTATCACAAAAGAAAAATGAATAGCATTTCTCATTTTGAGAAATGGACCTGTGTTGTGAAGAAGGACAATTCTAGTCTTTAAAAAGTACTGTGTACAGGAGCCTCTCTGGTAGCCTAAATCTCAGTGTTATCACCACCAGGGCCTGAGTTCCATCCCTAGCCAGGAAGATAACCCACAAAGCACAGCAGACCTTTGCCTATTTTGCCTGCTGCTCCCATTAGCAGTGAGTTTTAGTAGATCTGCCTGTTCTGCTCCCCACTCTGTCTCTGGTGAATCCTCTCACCGCCCCTACACCTCTGACCTGTGCCCCAGTTCTATATGCATAAATTAATAAATCTTTAAAAAAAAGTATATCAATGAACTATAAGGCCCGGCCCTCATCTTTTCAAATATTAGCATTTACAATTTTGTTTTACTTCAAATAAATGTCCTAGAAATTTATTTTTTTATAAATGATTGTTAGTATTTATCACAAACTTTCAGGATTTCCTTATTAGAAAAAAAGGAATTTAAACAACCTAATTTAGAAATAGGCTATTACAGGTTTGTTTATTTGTTTGTTTTTTAATCTATATAGAATGACTCACAAAGATTGTACCTAGGATACTCACAAAGATTGTATCCTAAGATGGTTAAGGATACTCTGAAATTAAAATCTGTAGCCAGCTGAGATTAGTATACATACCTATCCCTGAGAGAAAGAACCAATATGAAAATCCTAGCTAATTTTATAAAGGTTGGAATTTAAGAAAGCAATACTTATAAGTGCATCTGTTTGCACACAAACACAGGAATATTATATGCTGTTGTTTTATAATGGCCTTTCAACTCATTTCTTATTACATTTAAATTTTATTTTTTGGATTGACTGGAAGTTCATTAGATGTTTAATAGAAGTTTTCTAGTTCTGAAAATGGTAAATTTTAATTTGACCAGCTGGCTTTGCTTTCTGTGCTATTTGCATGTTGTACAAAGAGGTGGCAATAATTCTATTTAAGAAATTTGAAAACTTAACATTTCCTTTATCTAGTTTGTTCTGAATAACTGTAGTGCATTCAGGCATCAGAAACAGATACTCAGGTCTATCCAAAATTACGTGGTTAATAAAGAAGACATCTTCTGATGTCAAGTATGTGTGTTTTCCATAAAATTTACACTACCTCTGTTTTGTACTATATGGTTACCATTATGAACCTTGGTCTTTTTTTAAAATCCCTATCACTTCTAGGCAACAGAAATGTAAGTACTTTCATCTATTCAATTAGTGAAAATATATTAAACACTATTATGTAATAAGCACCAGGATATAGACAGAATACCAGCCCTTTTTTAGAAGCTATATTCAAGAGGAACAGGAGAACAAGCCTACAAATATAATATATAATATAATAATGCCAGAGAGTGACATATGCTATGAAAAAAATAGCAAAGTTTAGTACAGATGACAATATGAGCTGCACTTTAAATAGGGTAAACACAGTCTCTCTGAGGCATTAGTACTTTGAAGCTTTGAGCAGAAATCTTAGTGAATTAAAAGAGTTTTGTAAAAACTGGAGCATGAGTGATTCTGTTAGAAGAGGAAGCTAGCACAAAGACCCTAGATTTTGGGAGCATGCATCAGAAGTCCAAAGATTGGCAAGAAGTCAGTGTGTGAGAGAAAGAGAGGCAGGAAGCTAGGGTAAATCATCTAGAAGTCTGGTAGCAAGAAGTTCAGGGAGTCATTGGTTAGAGGTCACTGGAGAATTACAAGAAAGGGAATATGTAACCTGAAATGTTTTACAGAGACTATTCTGAAAGACCAGTAATTATAGATTCTCTCCCTTTTATAAAATTTTCTCCAATTCTTCTAGCAAAATTAAGCTTTCAAGATGACTTTTTAGAGAAGATGCACATGAGTTTTCCTTTGTTTCCTTTAAATTCCCGTTATTAAATATAATTTTCTTTGCTAAAAATTAAAATATTTAGTCTTCAAATATTTAAAAAACTAGAAGGTGTTTTAAGATTTAAGATATCTAAATCTGGGGCAATGATTGCAACATTCAGGAATAGGAAAACAGGCATTGTGGCTTGCTGGAGCTTGTGTCTAGGAAGCATTAGCTTTTCCCCAGAAGTTTCTCTCTGGATCAGTAAATCTGTCAGATATTGGTTCTTTTGGTGAAATAAAAGACGGATACAGAATAGTTAGTCTCTATAAGCCAGATGATTCATGGAGACATAACATTTATTAAAAAAAAAAAAGTGGCATTTTTAGGGTACCTTCTTTTTCCAAGTCTAGACAAAGGTAAAAAGGAATTTGTTTATCCTGTCCACCAACAACCAAAGATGACATTAACATCATCCACTAAAACAGATCAAAGTGAGTGACTTCCACTGGATGGAAAAGGGTAAGAAAGGCTAACATATAGGGAGGAGGACCTCTCACAGCAACCACCCATTCTCTCGGTTAAAGTATTTTGAGTGTTTAGTAGAAAGTGGTCAAGACGAAGGGGAGATCGGCATTCACAAGAATGAACAGAAAAATGTGTTGAAGGCTCATCTCCTATGCCACTGACCTCTCAAAGGTTGCATTTACAGTCAGTGTGTTTCTCCTCTGACATTCTAAACACTATAAACATTACATTCCACAACTACATACCTTGTGAAAGCATCCTTCAGTGGCACATGAATATCTAACTCCTTGAGGAACGGCACTGCATATTATTCATTTTGTATCCTTTACTTGCTTGTAACACAACAGATACTCAATGTGTATTTAGTACAAAAAAAAATATGAATGAAGAGATAGCTGTTAACGTCAATTTCAATTATAGATAGATAGATAGATAGATAGATATAGATATAGATATATGCATGTATATTATTGAGAGCTAGGGATTATTATCCTGATTAAAGATCAGAAAATTGTAGTCCAGGAATGTCATGCATAGTTGAGGTGAGACTTGAACTAAGTTTCAATGGGAACCTTCCCATGATAGGTAAATTGATGAGGAAGTAGAAGATAATTATGGGAAAAAGAAAAGTTAATTAAGCACACTAGTGAGGCAATTTCTTCCTTATTCACAGGAGCATAAGGATTTGGGTCACTGTTACTGATGAAATTAAGATAGCAATCATTAAGTAATAAACTACTAAAAATATTAATTTCATCCAACATCAAAATACTTCAAAGGTTAGTGAAAAGAAAATTTAAATATTAAAAAACTGAATATACTCCATTGACACACACGTGGGTTGCAACTAAAGTGATAGCTAGAGTAGTATCTGTAACCTTACATATTTCAACTCAAAAATAAGAAAGCTAAAAATAAATGAGTTAAGCTTCCAACTTAAGAAGCTGGAAAAGAAGCATATAGAATAAAACCCAAAAAAAAGGAAAGAAAAAAACGATAGAACCAAAAACATGAATTAATAAGATATGAAATAAAAGGGAATGCAGTTGATGTTCTTAAAAAGATTAATAAAATTAACAAATGTGCAAAAAATACTGATCAAAAGTAAAGACATACAGATAAATGTTATGAATGAACATAATTAGAGTTCAAGCAGAGATGGACATGAACTAGAAAGTATTTAGACAAAGATATACTATTATTTATGAAACCTAAGATGACATAAAAAGACATAAACCCCCCACACACATGTCTGTGCTCTAGTGGGAGCTCCCTTGCAGGTTCACAAATGACTGTCTTCTCTCATGCCCTTTTCACCTTGTTGAAAAATGCCTTTATTGGGCCCTCTCTGGTGGCGCAGCGGGTTAAAGCACAGCACTAAGAAGCTAACGTCACTTCCGCATGAGTTCGATCCCTGCCTGCCCCCGAGGAGATCCACATGGTGTGGCAGACCTCTCCTGACCCGCTGCTCCTGCTCCCCTCAGCAGTGTACTTCGTCAATCTGCCTGTTCTGCTCCCTGCTCTGTCTCTGGTGAATCCTCTCACCATCCGCATCTCTGGCCTGTACCCCAGTTCTATGTGAATAAAATCTATTAAAAATAAATAAATAAATAAATGCCTTTATTTCATCCTTTTTGACAGATATTTTCTCAGGCCTTACAATTCAAGTTTCCTAGTTACATTCTCTCAAAACTTTTAAGACATTATTCCATTGCATTCTGGCTTCCATTGTTGCTGTTGAGAGGTCAACTAAGTGCCTAATTTTTATCCCTTTTTATGTGAACTGTCTGTTTTCCTTGATAGCTTCGAAGGCTTTATTTTCATTCTGTATGTCCACTATTACAGTAGCCAACATCCAACAACGCCCCAGTGACTTACTTCTTATAGTCAGGTCTGGCCCCCTGAGAATAGAACAAAGCAGAACAAGTGCTGGTATGATTTCTGAGAGTTGATCTTAAAAGACATTGTAGCCTCTTACCCTGAAGAAAGCTAGCAGCCATACCAAAAGGAAGTGGAACCAGTTCCATGAAGAAGTCCATGGGGAAAGAATGGAAGGCCCCATCTAATGCCAGCATCAGCTTGTCAGCCATGTGGATGGGTCTCTGTGAATTTGGATCCCCCAGGCCTAATCAAGCCTTCAGATGACTGCATTTCCAGCCAGCATTTGACAGAAAATTTTAAGAGCCATCTCAGTAACGTCAAAACTACCTAGCTGAGCCATTCTCAAATTACTGACCCATAGAATCAATGAAAGATCAGAAATAATTATCTGATAAAACAAAGCTAATCTAATTACCTTTTTTTTTTTTT